ATAAATGACCTTGGGGATGACATCGGAGAGGACATTGAGATAAGCCTTTTCGTGGACGATGCTGCGGTATGGAGCGAAGATACCAACCCCGACAGGGCTATCCAGCAAGAGCAGACCGCGACAGAAATGATAGTCCAGTGGAGCCGAAAGTGGAGGATGCAAGTGAACGTCCAGAAGACGGAGTTAGTGGTGTTCAGTACGACCCCGAGTGAAAGAAAAGGAGTCAGGGCGATCGAGGTTGATAGATTGCCGATCATCCAAAGACCGACGGTGAAATTCCTTGGAGTGGTGTATGACTCGGGGCTAACGTTTAATGGACACATTGATTTAGTCCTGGAATAGGCGGAGAAGCGACTTGATATAATGAGGGGTTTAGGTGGAACAACCTGGGGATGGCGTCCAGAGGACATCAAGAAAGTCTACGCTGCTTGTGTGCGACCGGTGATTGAGAGCGGATCAGCATCATGCATGCCGTGGATCTGCCGCTCACGACTTGACAGGTTGAAACGCCTGAAGCTGAAAGCAGGTCGAATTACCACGAGCCTTCCAATCTCATGTCCGACGAAGATGATGCTACTAAAGGCGGATATCCAGACGATAGAGGAGAGGGGCAGGTTCGAGGCCATCAGGGCCTATGAACTCAGCGTGAGACTTCCCACACAAAGCCTCCGCAGACAGATGGCTGAGAAGCAACAACCAACCTGGCTAAAGCGGACCTCAACCTGGAGGGAGAATGCGCGCAGATGCCTGCAACAAACTCTGGGAGAGGATTCTGAGATGCCTAGAGTGCTTTTCGCTGTTAACACTCTAGCCCCATGGCGACGTCCTTTCATCACTATTCTAAGGGATTTTGAAGATCTGTGCAGCAAAGCAGAGATGGTAGAAAACCGGCAACAAATGGAGGATGCGCTCAACTCCCTACTGGAAACGTCCTTGACTATTTATACCGACGGGTCTGCGATAGATGGATGCAGACAGGGAGATGCGGGAGTCGTGGTGACAAAGGAAAGCTGGAATAACTACTCAATAATTGCAACATCTAGGAGAAAGGGTGCGTAGTACAGCTCATCCTTTGATGCCGAGACGCTAGCTCTACTGACGGCGGCGGAATGGCTAGAGCACCCACCCGAGGGTTGGAGTTCTG